TCACTCTCTTGTGACCTGCTATTTCCGGGGTGCAATGATAGTCGAAGCAGACCTTGTGCTGTTGGAGCTAGAGAGGAGAGCAGTCTAAGTCTCATTCCCTGTAAAGACGTCTCTGTTGACACCCACCCCTTGGCGCTCATATGACCTTATACAGTTGCGAGCGCCGTAAAACCCTCTACTATAAAAAAATATATATATATTTAAAAAACCTCTTCTCTAAAACTAATTTTTTCCCTCTGAATTCGAATTTGGCGTGTCCTTGCGTTCTAACACATAGGGTCCATGAGTTTGCGAGTCTGCTGACCGTTAAAAAAACAACCCAGCCAGCATGATAAAAGTTCAATAGATCCTTCGCCCAATACAAAAAGGGGTGCTGGGAAATATGGCCATGGCCTGTTTGAGTTGCAAGTGCCGTAAAACTCTTACTAAAGGTTGATAAGGGCGTGCGTTGAACCTATACCATAATACTCTTATTATAAAAAAAGAAAAAAAGTTGATGGTGATAGTGTTGTATTAATTAATGACTTGACGAATTGCGAAGGTCATGGCAATTGACTTTTCTGTCAGTGGAGATGGAAGGTGGGTGGTTGGCGGGTGCTGAGGTGTGGTTTGCTCTTCTTTCCCTTTCAAACATCTATAGTCCGATTAATTATAGTTCTCCTCCTTCTTTCTTGTTTATTGTTACTCTCTAGTAGTGACATCTCTAATCTACGACACACATTATAACCAAGACCTTTTTGTGTTGCAAGTGCCGTAAAACTCTTACCAAAGGTTGATAAGGGCGTACGTTGAACCTTTGCCACAATACTCTTCTATAATAAAAAAAAAAAAAAAAGAAAAAAGAATATTATGTCGATGGTGATAGTGTTGTTTGAATTAATGACTTGACGAATTGCGAAGGTCATGGCAATTGACTTTTCTGTCAGCAGAGATGGGAGTCCTTTGTTCCAGGTCCTCACCTTTCTCGCTCTCACCTTTCTCGCTCTCACCTTTCTCACTCCCACACCTTAGTTGAGAGCTGTTGGTGGGAATATTCATTATCATCGTAGCTAGAGTTTCACGCGGGTGGTTGGTGGGTGCTCTGTTGTGGTTAGCTCTTTCTTTCCTATCAAACGTTCATCGTCCTTGAGGGGCACAATGCTGGGCCGAACGGCTGAGTACATGTAGTAATTTCACTGTATCGTAGGATGACATCAGCTTAGTTGTATTGCTGTTTTGTTGTTTAGTTCTAGGGTCGGCTGGGGTAATAGGAGAATATGTACATAGCACAGAGCATGCTGTACAGCGTAGATTTATGTAAGCTAAGTTATAATAATGATAATAATAATAATACATGTAATAATAATAAAATAATAAAATAATAAT